ATGTATCACTGCAATCTCTAGAAGTAATCTATAACAATTTCAACTAAAATTAATGTTTCATCATGTTTAATTTATTTGACAAATAATATTGTATTGTAGTGTCAGGGGCATCATGCACGCACTATTTTATAACTGATATTAGATATTATTGTATAACTGATATAGGCTTATGTCCCTACTGAAAAAAAGCAAAAAACAATAAAACCATCACAGAAAATTTTAATGGAGTTCACTACAAATACCATTACAAACCATCAACTTTTAACCATTAAAACCATTAAAAAATTGCTTTCTGTAGTGTGTTTTGGGACATATTCCATTAGGATTTATTGGTTTTAACAAGCCACCAATATTTTTGTGGAAACTGTGATACATTTTATTTTTCAGGATTCACAGAAGCAATAGAACAGCATTTATTTGAAACAGAAATCTTTTCTAACGTTATAAATGTCTTTACTGTCCCTTTTGGATCAATTTAATGCATCCTTGATGAATAAAAGCATTACTTTACATCTAAACTTCTTTTGTTTTTAAAATACGAATGAATGCTTTGGTTTCGATAAGTATGCAAACACAGACATAGCAAAAGGCCAAGTATAATTTCTTCCTACTTTCTTTTGATTACGAGTACTTTCTATGAGCATCAGATGTGTGTCGGTGAGAAACTGTGTCACACACGAGCGCCAAGCCTCATGGGAAACTATAAAAACAGTGACGGCGAGCATGAGCTCCGGGGAATGGATTTCAAGCGTCTCTGGAGGAGATACAGGAGTCTTTGTGCTGAGAGAGAGAGAGAGAGAGTGAGCAGGCGGGCGAGCGAGCGAGCGGCTCAGGGTCATGTGACCGACACTGCAGACGCCACACATCACACGCATCGCTACATCATCGCATATATCTGACTCTACCAAAGCATGAAACCAACTGGAGATTGAACGAATCTTTTGCACTAAATGACTGAAATATCAGTGTGATAATCTGAGATTTTGCTCCATTGAGTGGCAGTGAATGAGCCGGATGGAGACGAGACGAGACGAGCGTCAATGAATGATGGCAAAGAGTGTCAATGAGGCCAGACACACATTCATTCACAAGTCAACAGGGAAAACACACAGAAAATCACTTTCAGACGATATTTGAAAAAACCATCAGTGTCATCTAAACATTCTTAAATCTGGAGATAGAAAATGACTGAAGATATTATGAAAAATAGAGCAAAATTAAGCGGGTTTACACCTAAAACAAGAACAAAATCAAACGGGATATAGTTAAGTGCAATTATTGTCGTTTCAATGTGAATGTTTTAATACAAACGTGCAAAGACAAGCAAGAGAGAAGCGAAGCGTTTTCCCAAAAAATAAAAATGTTCGACAGTTTAAAATGAAGATATTAGGGCAGCCATAAATATTAGGATTGTATTGTAACACATAATATATTTAGTATATTATTTTTCATAAATACACATTTTTTACTTTAAAGTGAAATATTACTATAGTAGTATTATAAGAACAAACGCAATTTGATTTTTTAACCAAAATTGTGCAGCCCTAGTTTAAGCATAAACTCACTTAATTTTGATACTTAAAAAAAAAAAAAAGACTTTTGTTTTAGAGTGAAATATTACTAAAGTAACATTGTAACATTTCATTTCATACGTTTTCTTTAGCAATAATAATAATAATAATTCTTATTATTATTTTACAGCTATATTAATATATATTTACATATTTTTGGTGCAGCCCTACAAACAAGTTCTGGATTTAAAAAAAAAAATCACAATCTCAATATTGATCAAAAATTTTAATCAATTAAATCAATGATTTCTCCCTCGAATGTTCTTCCTTAATTTTGATGCATTTTTCATTACAAGACTGATATCTTCAGTCATTTTTCTTCTCCAGTAAATGTATCTTGATTTAGATATTTGTACTGGAAAACAAGACAGAAATACTGGGGAGGAACAGCACTTTTGCAGTGCATTTGAGTGTTACTGGTTTATGCTTCGGCGTTTTGACTGAACATCATTTTAATGTTCCTGAAGGTCTGTTTAACTCAGATTTGAGAAGTCTTTCTGAGCTTGATCTGACTGGCGTTTAGCGTTCAGATGGAGTGAATCTCTGATGGTTCATGTATAATGCATGGAGTGTTTCACATCCACACACCTGCCGTCGGCAAATGCTCAGGTTAAAGAGAACCGATGTGACGCTCTTCATTTGCATCCGTCTGATGAAGAGGAGACACACACACCTCCGATCGCTTTAGATGAAGTTTTTTATGCCGGAAACTGGAACTAACTGAACAGTGGCATCATCTTAAACAAATCCAAGAGTTCAAATCCTGAGGTTCAGGAGCGTTTTCTGAGGTGTCCCTTGACACAACTATTAAACTTAGTAATATTAATTTACACTGCAGCAAACGCACGTGTTCTTACTGAACTGCTGCTCTATAAGGGGCCGTTCACACAGAACGCGTTTTTCAATATAGCCGCACAGCATCGTCTTTTAGTTTCAATCTTTCTGAAAATCCCGCGTTGAATTGTACCTTGTTTGTAAATGAATCTACGGTAAAATGAAGTGAACAAAGGACCGAGTTCTTACTGACGCGGTCTGGATCTTCATTAAAAATAAAGTTTATCCTCTCTTTCCTATTGTTGGGATCAGAAGGAACAGGGCTAAACAGGCAGTGCTGTAGAATCGGGGGGCGGGGCTAAACAGGCAGCGTTGTAGAATCGGTGGGCGGGGCTAAACAGGCAGTGCTGTAGAATCGGTGGGCGGGGCTAAACAGGCAGCGCTGTAGAAGCAGGCGTTGATCTGCGGAGGCGGTGCTTATCCACACTATTACATCCGAGTAGAACATT